CCGTTGCCGTTCTTATATATGTGAAACAAAATCATTTCTTTCGTGGGATCTTTGTCTCACATCTATCTTGCAGACTTTCCTTAAATACATGTAACGGAATAGTTCCTTTCATAAAACGGGATACACCCGTCACCCTGGAGTGAGTAAACTAAGTCTGTGGTTACTCTGTTTAAAATGTTTTTTTATGAAGATACAGAATATTTTCAGTAATGCTGAATGGTAGCGACATTGATTGCATTTGATCAAATTAAATAGGGAGGCCTGCTTTATCAAAGATTTTAAGTTGAGAATAGAAACAAATTAATGTCAATAAAGTGAAAGCAGTACAATGTAATGATATGCCGTGTCGAATCAAGATCTGTCGAAATTGACTGAGCATAGAATAGCAGCAATGTGTCACTCAAGAGGAGCCATTATTAGTTTTAATGAACGAGGGTGCGATTTACTCTGATAATATCATACCCTCTTCTCTTGCCATCTGTGTTCAATTCCAATGCCTTCACCGTCACCTATCGATCAGAATCTTATCTGTAACAAATGCACATGAAGTCCATGGATCTCGCCTTTAATTAAAGATATTATTCCTGTCTTTTAGTATGCAATAGTAACTATGCAAATATAACTTTAATGTTTTGATCAAATGATGATGCAACGATAATAATATGGTAAATATTGCTGTCACTTATGTTACAATGCAACACCATTGTTGAATCTATTGAAGATTTTGTCAGGTAAAATTGAAGGAAATAAAAAGTTTATCAAAAATCGGTTGAGAATACTATCTGTTTCGGATTTGGTGAAAGAAAACGAATGTCTAAATTGAAGTTCTCTGAGAAGAGTGCTGGTTCCTTAAAGTCGAACATTTTGATGTTATCTTCCTAAACGATTGTTCCAGATACGACTTTTTAAGTATTTATTAGACTAATAAATTAGGTGTAAAATAGAACTGAGCAACAGTTCTGAAGTTTTTTCTATCTGAAACTTTCCGGATTTTTAGTTTGTCTCCGGTTATCATTTAAACGTATCCGAATTAAAGGTATAAAAAAATATGTTCAGATTTATAGCGCAAAATAATACTGCAATTAGGAGAAGTTTCAAAGAACGTTGTGCCTACAAAATGTTCGGAAGATTCCAACTCATTATATTATAATACAAACTGTTTACCGAGATTTTTCAGAAACAACTACTAGGACTTTATCACCTTAAGTGATAGCAAAAATTTACAAAAGTCATCAAATCGACTGTATGTAGTGCAAGATTAGTCGAATAGCATTACTGTAGATTATGGCAACGCGACTGCGCCACATCCAATACTGATGCATTACGTCATGTAATGGGTCTTGGATATTATCCACCGATTTTCAGATATTGAACAGTAGTGTGTATTACGACGTTTTGAGAAGTTTAAAGCATTTTTTTTTTGATTCAATCCATTGCAAAAAACATATGGTTGGGCAGGATGTACTTGGTCTTATTTGGGTTGCAATAAAACCAGAAATAATATATCGAGAATCAAATAATTGTATTGCTTTTATTGTAAACTGTATTTAGTTCATAAAACTCACCATGCGTCAATCCCAACCTTTTTAAACTGTTTTTAATCGTAGTTTGTTGATAGTAATTTCAATTTGTTAGCAGTCGTTTCATCGAAAAATCAACCAATTGACAAACATAATGCTTAGACTTAATAATATGTTCAAAATGATAAAATTAATAATATTTCAAATCATATTGGGAGCCACTCGAACTTGTTCGATTTTGAAGAAATTTATAGCCTTTTTACACATAAGTAATTTGCAATATATCAGTAATAAAAAACATATTTTATTGAAGTTCCTAGCAAACGATGTCCCTTAATACACTTCCAGTAGAAAGGAATTCATGATTATAGTCGATATTTATAGCAATTAAAATCTTAATATCTTAAATCAGAAATGAAATTTCACCAGAATGAGTATTCGGTGAAGGAAATACTTTTCCTTTGCGTATCTTTGTTATCATCTATTCATGAGCCTCCCTTATGGAACTAAAATTAGCAGTAATGTAAATAGGATGAGGTAAGAAAGCGAAGGAAAAAATATGCTAGTAATTTGCAGTTCATGCAAAACTATGTAAGATTAAAATTTGATTTTAATAATCAATTTTGCATGAACATTCACTTTTCACGTTCGTTTGCTACAAAACCACGCTGATTTGAAATGATGGCAACAGACACTTACCCTCATCAATTTATCACACCACTGACGTTTTTGTTATAATTTCCAAAGTAGTTGAGGAAATAATTCTGACAATGAAGAAATTGTTCGAATAATTTTGCAATCGGACTTTGTGAGTTGAGGAGCATAATTTGCATAACTTACACATAATTAAGGAATATAGTGACAGAGTTTAATTTCAATAGGAATATTACCATTGCTAGTACTATCTATAAATGTCATATGAAGATACTTATAGCTTGTCAACAATTTATTCCATCTGTAATATCAATGAGTTCAGCTAAAATTTTCAGTGAGTTTTTGAATTATAATAGGAAAATGCAAGTAAATGAATAAGTTCAGTGCAATTAATAAATTTTGGAATTTTAATGAAATAAGAGTGAGCTGATACGATGAAATGAAAAGGAGGGAAAAAGGAGAGAAGAAGAGGAGGACTAATGAAATAAATAAGTGTGCCTACGGTGTGCGAATAATTTATCAGATTCATTTGATCAGTAATGCCTTATAAATCATCCTCATTATGGCAAATGAGCATCGCATCACCCGTTAAGTTGCCCACGAAATGCCTCGGAATACTTTGACCACCTATTCATTCTCTTCTCTTCTTCAAATTTATCCTTGTCGCGACGAGATGATGTTGGCAATAGTTGCCGCATCCACGAAATAGCCTTTAGCAAAATTCATTTCATCTCCTACTTTCTCTTCTTTTATTCCACCAATTATCATTCTCTCTAACCATCGTTGCCACCGGTCACCATACATCTATCCGTTCCTTCTACCACCTACTTATCAATTTCACGAAATTTCATCCCGGTCACTCAGTGACTGTTTGCAATGCTACCATACGACTCATACCGTAAACCCTCGAAACGTCTCTTGCCATAATCATCAATTTGATTCATGTTAATCATCCTGCATTAATGGTATTTCAAACGATGTAATTGGCAATAAGGTTTGCCTTGCCGTCATTATCATCATAATCATCTTAGCTATCATAACTGTAATTGCTGGTGTGGACACCGCTGTTTTCACCACGAACATTATTTCTATCATTTTTATCACTATTATTAATGTATTTATTCGGCATTATCACGTACTGACGTGGTTTCCGTCTATATTACCACTATGTACGTGTTTTTCATATTATTATTGCTATATTTTTCATAGAAATCAGAACTCTCACATTTCTTTTCTTTTCAGCACAACTAATCATTTGGTGCAAATACATAAATTTTTTGAAGCAAAAAAATTCTAATGTTACAGAAATAATAATAATAACTATGAAGAAGATGTAACGGATTTCAAATAGAAAATTTTCAAATAGAATTTTAAATAGAAAATTCTATAACTGAATTAATAATTCATGACTTGAGATGAGCAAAACGAAACGAAAATTTGAAACATTGCCGGACGATCCTATTACTCCTTGCTTAACTTCTCCTCGTTCCTTTTGCTTCTTCACATGTCCTTGAATGTCGTAAAGAATAAATTAATCTTGTGAAACAGTACCTGAGATTATCAGAATTTAAATCTTTTCCATCAATATTTTTTAATTCAATTTTTCTAAAAGCTTGTCAGATTTCATATTTTATGAGAGATCCACAGTATTTGGCTTCCACAATTTTCGAAGTTAGACCTAAATTATTTTGGCATTTGACTTTAAGACTTGTTCACAAAGGATTCTTGTTTCCTTCATTTACGTAAAGCAAAGATAAATTTGTTCGCGATGAATCGTTATCCAACATTTATTAAATTATCACAACTTTATTTCTAAAAAGTTTCGATAATGTCTCCAAAAAGTCTCATTTTTTAAGTTTTGCTATTTATTTTTTAAATATCAAAACTAAGATATTTTTGTATTTCTTCTTCTAGAATACACTGAGATGAAATTAAGATAATAGTATAATGTAAGCTTTTTTAAAAACTTATAGAACTATGTAGTCAGAAGTTCCCAAGATTTTTAGCTCTCTAAAACTTTGAAAAAGTTTGATCAAGTTCCGGCACTCATACCTCTCTATAACATGATCAATATGCTTTTGGAATTTAGAAGACAATGAGCACAATTTTTTTTCTGAAACCACAAAAAGTTTTTTTTTTTTAAACAAGCACATTTCACTGTTGCTTTTATTCTGGACTAAATTCTCAATGAGCGCTGTCAACATAATCTTGATTTACACTGATACAGTTTTGATCCATTATTAATGTAGTCTGATCCATTATTGATACAGCTTTAATCCACTATGATCCACTTTTGATCTATTGTTTTGCTCTGCTAGTGACATAGCTTTGATCTACTAAATCCTGGCTCTTTAGTGCAATTCTTTGTTAAGGAATTGTTGTCATTTCGAAATTTTGGGTAATCTTTCTCAGAACTATTTCTTATCGCTAGATTTTTGGAGAGAGTTGAATAGTTTCAGTGTGTGTTGCAGTTTGTAATTAGATCGAAAATGCTTCAAAATCAAAATGAAAACTTTACACTTTAGCCGTAAATATAATTTAAAAAAAGGAAAAAAGCTGCATATCAAATAATTTGAAGTTTGTAATTTCATAAAATTTAAATATAGCAATGATTAGCCTTTCAATGAACTATTTCTGTACAGCATAATAAATTCAAAACTTGAAATTATCGCATTTTTTTAAAAAATAATTGTATAACTTTAATAAGTTAAGCTTACGCAGAATTATCCCAAATGAAGTCATTTTCAGTAATTAATCAAATTTATGTAAATATTTATTTTGTCATCGACTGAAAATTTTTAAGAAATAACAAATAAGACAATATCAATGTTACGAGATGATGCTGAAAAATCGGATTCTGAACAAGAAAAAGTTTTGATAAAAAAGGTAAGCGAGCTAAAATTGAATTGCAATAAAACATTCCAATTTCAACACATAAACCTCAAACTTCTAATTTCAAGTTCGTTTAGAAAGCAAATTTAATTGCTCATCTGAGTTTCATTTTCAGTTAAATAATTATAAAACATTATATTTGTAAAAATCAAGTCATTCAAGTATTGCATTTGGCGATGGCATCAAATTTTAATGAATCTCATAATTTAGTATTTGGGATTTGAAATGATGGGAATTTTTTTAGATTAGTCTCTTTAATATTTATAAAGCTTTCTAGGCTAACAAACCACTGATAGAGAGGAAACGAAGAGCGCGAATCAATAAGTGCCTTTTTGAGATAAAGCAAATGCTAGTGGATGATATTAAAAATGAAGTTATTTTTTTTGATATTAATTACTTTTGCTTACTTTGATTCGACTTACTTTTTACCATCTAACTTTTGACACTAAAAGTCTTTGCCATCTTTCATTAAGCATTATGACTGTTAATACTGTATTTCTAGTCGTTTCCATTATTTGATAATATAACGCAAGCAAACTTTTTTATATCTTTAGCCTAAAACTTTGAAACTCAGGCGGAATGAGTCAGGCAAAAATGCAACGAATAACTGACATTAAATTGTACTTAGTTTTTCTTAAGTGCTTGAAAAGTGAAATTTCTCAATCATTTCAAGTTTCCAAGCCATTTTCAACAAAACAGCGTACATTACTGATGCAATAAAATTTATGAATCAGAAAAAATAAAAAGTGTAAAAAAATTCATTTTGAAATATTCAGATCGACCTCAAATTTATTTTTATGAGACTGAAAAACTATAACTAAAAAGCCTAAGCTTATCGTCCAAATTGCAGTATCGCAGAATATTAGCATCATTTCCTTGGGATTATACCGGTGAGAACAGCGTGCACCACAACAATCCTGAATGCAATAATTATCAGCAAACAACGATAATGCAGCCCTCGAGCTTTCAGATACTCAATCATACAACCAGGTGAATAAAACGGAGTTAGGCCTGTGAGGAGGTGTGACAATAAGATTACAAATGAGCCATGACATTTTCGGAACTATTCTTAATTAATTTTCTAAATAAATGCTCAAGGTAATCAAAGATTCGAAATTGACAAGATGGAGTGAGAAACTACGAAGTCTGCCATCTTTTTGCCTATCATCATGATATCTCTGCATTGCTTTATATAATCTTAATGATTGAAGATAATGAACTCTGTTAGAACATCTCCTGTATGGAAGTCATTCATGATCGTTTTAATCAGATCATTGCATAAACTTATGGCTCCTTATCTTGAAATAATCAATATCTCTACATAGTTATCACCTTAACTATGGATTAAATTCATATTTATAGTAAATTAGTCCAAGACGTAGTGTCGCTCCGTATATGAATCTAAAAACTCTTTGATATATTAGAGACAGCTCGGTAGAAATAGTGTAGTATTACAGGTAAGGACGAGTGTTCATCGAATATACATAGATATGACTTCGTTGGTAACCGAAATTCGGAGTTCTTATTACGAAAGTATGATGAAGATAAAATTCAGCTGCACGATATTTTTGATTTTTCTGTTTTCTTGAATCTTTCTTTTTATACCTTCTTTTCTCTTTATTTTTCCTACTCTCTATCTCTCATCTCATATATAATTATGTATATATTTCATATATATATGAGCATGAATTTTTTTTATAATGAAAGTATCCAAGTTGCATATGTCAATTATAAGAAATAAACTTTTGTGCTTCTTGAGCATTCAAGACTTTATCTCTCTGACAATAGCTCTTGGAAATCTTGAAATTGTTTCTTGCAGAGGAAGTTGAAATCTTTATTTGATTTACACAGTGCTGAGATATTTTATTGTGAAAGAATTGTAGTTTATGATTACTGTTGAAAATTCAAACATATTTTAGATGAAACGACGAAGAGTTTAAACTTCGATTTATGGGTAAATTTCTTATCAAAGCTCATAACCAACTTTATTTCATTGGTCATTTCGTGACACTTTACAGTAACTTCATTGGTCAAACAAACTTTCATTTCTTTTTGAACAATTTACTTCAAAAATTTCAATTATATTATAGTAAAATCTTACTAATGAATTCAATAATATTTCTAACACATTTCAAGAGTATGCTACCATCGTTTATAATAACTTCGCTAATTGAAAATAATGCATTTATTTTAAATATAACGAAATAAAATCATTCTTCAGAAATTATTATTTTATTCAGAAATATAGCAATATATTTCGAGTATTTTATTTAAAAAATTTTAATTAGTTAAAATTTTTTTTCCAAATGTAAATAAAAAGCAACGATCCATTTCTATTTTATATTCATTTTGGTCATTAAGGTTTATTCTGTTAATAATTATTTTTAATGTTGAATGTACGACCGGCACTTCAAGTATCGAAGCTAACTTTGAAGTAAAGACAAAACCAGATTCCTGCGGAAAAACATCTCCGTTTAGTGACAACAAATTTAGTGAACATTGTAATCAGGAATCCACAAAATCAACCTGTAATAGTTATAGGTTATGGCGACCTTTCTAATGCTAGAATATTTTAAAACTTTTTTCCTCTCTTTCTGAATAAATATATATGTCTGTTTTAAGACTTAAACTCTGGATATTTAAAAAAATACTTAATAAAATCGGATAATTAAGCAGTTCAAGCTACTTCGGTTAGTAAAATTTTGAACAAATAAAAAATTTTAATGATTTCTCAAAAAAAGTTAATAAATTTTTAAATTTCAATTAGTGAAAATCATTGTAATTTCTTTCTATTGTCACAGGTTTCTACACATGGATATGCTTCTTTTCCATATCATTCTGTCAATATTCATTCCTGCTACTGACAGTTGTGCAGTTTCTTTTTTCTAATTTTCCATTTTAAAACGTAAGCATTTACCGAGCTATCAATGAAGATGGAGCAATGGTATGATGGTAAGAAAGTATGAACCATTTATTAAATGATGAAAACTTCACTCCCACTCAAATCCGATTAGCATCAATTTGTGATTAAACCTAGTGAAGATCTCCTAGCCATGATTTGTGCAGCTGCTGTTCCTTTTGAATTTTGATGTATATTCCGAATGAAAAATTTTCAGTATAAATATAAATTAATAAAAATTAAAAGTGATAGGCAACATATAATTGTTTAAAAAATGCCTAAAAATACAAAACATTCGCTAAATTTTGGCGAGTATCTACTTGACAAATTAAAAAAATACTTAAATATTTGCCAGTTGAGTTTGCAAAAACCAAAAAACAAAATATTAATAGTCCTATTCTCTTTTATAGGAAAAAATGACCTTTTCATGTTTTTCATATCATCAATGTTGCAATTTTTCGAAAATGCCAAGAACTCACTAATTTTCAAGATAGTTCTTACAAAGGTTAGCGTTTGCTTCATTTTAATTTTTGCACTTTATTAAAAACTGATGTCCTCTTCTTATCTTCACCATTTCATTTTAACTTTATTCTAGTGCAATGATTCAAATGTTACCTCTCTGAAGTTTCTACAAAATTTCAATTAATTTTTCACAATTATTAACAAACAATCATTCAATTAGAATTGATATGCTAATAAATGTATTCATAGAAGGAAAAAAATTAAGCATTGAAGCTTGAAAAAAAGTTAGCAAATCCTTGGCTTTTGTTGTTATCTTCAAACAAGTGAACTCTCTATTTTTTTCAATAAAAACTTCACCAACAAATTATAAAATCAACTGCCTAATAAGTGCGAATGACTTTTCAATTGAAACCAATAAAATGTGGCAATTGTTAAACAATATATGAGCTATCCAGTGTTCAAGTAATTTGGAGTAAATCTTTAATTGCTGTCAAACTTTCCAATTTAGCAATATCTAAAACGAATCCATATTGGTTTTTTTTTTTTTGAATATCGGGAGCTATGATGGGAAAGACAAAATTTCGAAAACATTAAAATTCCGTTTGTATGGATGAATTCATATTTTGTTCTTTAACTTCACCCACTAAAAACACCAGAAAAACTTAAATTATTTCTTCACTTTAAAAATATACTTAAGATGTGTGGTACGTCGTTATCGAGCTTTAGCTAATTTTTGGATCTTCAATTTTTAAATACTGCTTGCTTGAAGAAATACAAGCGACTGATTGATTCATTAATGTCTAATTATGAAAACAATAAATCACCGGAGCACGTTTAAATTTTTTTGAAGTAAGTTGTTAGTGCGAAATTTTAATAAAAAAGAACCAGTTGAGAAATCAATGCAGTAGAACATATTTGAGCTGAACATATACAAATCAAATTTATTTAGAACATGCTCCAATTTAAGGAATACAACAGAACGGAAAATTTTTCGATGTGATATTTTATTTTTTTTTACTTTGAATTACTTTTTCAGTATTATTGGATAAAAATTTGTTAGATCATTTCGATTCAATTTGCTGCTATATTCTTATTTTTTCCAAAATAGTATAATAATTATTTCATGAAGAAGTTTTCCACTTTCTTAGATCTTCTCCGATCGAAGTGTTGTTAATCTTTACAAATTTTGTTGTTTGAATTTGGTTTTCATTGAAGGTTTTTTTTTTCTCTCAATGTGATCAAATCAATATTATTTGCATTTGAAATTATCTCTTCTAAAACTAATATGAAAATTTTTTAAAGTGAATTTGCTCTTTGTAGACATTTTGATTAACCTAATAGATCTTTCGCTCTTTAAATCATACAATTAGTTTACACAATATATATTTGTTGAAAATATATATTTGGCCATAAAGTTCTCACTTGGCCATCATGATGGCCAAGTGAGAATGATATATAGACGTAGCAGTAATTGAAAAATGTCGTAGATAAGCAAACATTCTAAAAATTTCAAGTAATTCTAGTCTGTTAATGTCCGTCAGGAACCTATGTATAGCTCGAGCAACACTTTAATTAATTGACCGTTCTGAAGACTTCCGCAAAATTGAGACCTCCGTGAGTTACGTTGAGATCAGACATACAATATTGAATTACCAAACATCATCTGATTCTAATAAAAGAGCACGTACATGTGATGCTCGTCGTTCTTGGCAGTTAAAGATTTTTAAATATGGTAAAATTTTCTTCAAACTTTCTCCAAAATTATGTACATACACTATATATGATAAACGAAAAACACATAGAACAATGATATTTTAATATATAATGCTTCATTGAAACCAATTGATATTCTTGAAAGTATTTCTATAAAGATGGTTGTCGTACTTCTTATCTTCCATGACAAGATTGACATTCATCACTTTGTTTGAAACTTTAAATCGACTTATTTTAATAGAATGCTGCTATCAGTGCCTATTTCTATTCACAAGTTTTTCTCAACATCTTTTCACTACTGTCGTTAATGCTCAGCATATCAATCAGAAACCAATCATAATTTTTAATTTCATATTCGTATATGTGTTTGGCATAGAAGAGCCTGATAAGCAGAAAAAGATGAGTATAACTTTTTCGCAAGCTTGAGATTTCGTTTCCTGGGACGCTGAAGACTTTCATATTGTTAGTCAGCAGTAAATTAATCATCTTCGTCATAAATAATACATATGAGGATGTTAGTTACTAAATAAAGTTTTGAAATATAGGTTATTATATACTTTATTATTTGAAGGCTTTCATCAATATTTCGTGAACCAATAGCGCCGAGTGATATGTGGTATTGTTTGTTAATATATAGATTAGTTAATGATATGTGGAATATATTCATTATCTCCTTTACGTATTTTAGTTTGAAAAGTTCTTATTTTTGTTTACTTTCATTTGGGTGAATTTCGTTTCCATTTTGCAAAGCGTTTGTATATTTATTCGTTAGCTTTTTCTTGCGTACGCAATTTAAAGTATAAGAAAAAGTGCTAAATTGTAATGAATTCACAATAATGCATGAGAAAGATTTACCGTAACATCGACCAAACACTCATCTATTCAGTTTTGTTGACTTGCCTTACTTAAGGTAAGTTCTCCATTGTCAACAAGATTCATACTTTTACAAACATCCAAAACGAAATCGTTTACTTGATGATCATTTTGTTTAGTGTGAAAAATTAAATTAAATTGCTTTCTTCATTATATTATTTATATCACATATAGTAATAATAACAAATAAATAAAATATATGTTTAGATGATAGCACTGCGTGTAATTTTTTAAAAGTTATTCCAATTTGTTCAATTTTCAAAATATAAAATTTTATTTATCTCTAAAAATTGTTACTTTGATTTGTAGTAATTAAAATTTGCTTTATTACAAAATTTGAGTGTAATATTATTTCAAATTATTGATTTTCAACTCAGTTCTATTGAGATCAAAAAATTTACAGAAATTATGTGTCAGTCTCATTGATGATGATAATGAGCATTGTCGTCATGTGATGATCGAAATATAAGTGATACCGAAAATGATATAAAGGGAGTGAATGGGTAGTAACAACAGGTTAACAGAGGAAGGCAGGTTTTACTGGTGGCAATATTCGAAAGAGAGTGGTTCTCGTGCGAGAAGAGTAGGGGTGGAAGGTAATCAGTCTGGTTTGCAAAAAGCATTTTTGATGTTAACAAGCACACTACGATGCTCGCACAAATTCCAAGCATTATTTACCTTCATCAGCATCGCTAGCAATATTTTCGGATTTATTTTATGCACCATTTCACGTATATTTTTCCTGTTATGCTCCTTCCTTAAGGTATATGAAATCTCTGTAGGTTATTCTATTCATTTCTTTAAGCTTGTCCATTTGCTCACATTCTTCATGTTAGTCGTTTCACCTTTAATGATTTTTTTTGTGCTACTGCCAAATAAAAATTGATGAAAATAACGTGTAGCATAAAGTTCGTTAATTAATTTATTGAAACACCTGCAATATTATTAGGAAACCAATCGATATAACTATGAAGCTACTACTTCTCATCTTACAATTAAAATTTCAGTCTATGTTTCATTTTTGCAAAAGAAAACCTGAATACATGAATGTTATGGAAGAAACAGTGGTTCCGCAATTTTCAATGTTGCGAAATTTTACCATTCAATTAGATAAAGCAGTTGAAAGCAATTTTTTTCCTTTTTTGTATGATCCATGAAATTTGAACCTTTCAATGATACTTTGTGAAATGATTGGGAGATTAGAACAGATATAGCTTACTATATCTGTTCTAATCTCCCAATCATTTCACAAACTCCTAAAATTTTGCTATTTTCCGGCTTCGAAAATTATGAAACAATTAGGAGAAACGATTAAATGGCTCATTACTAATTGTGATTCGTTTAATAAATTGATATTTGTTGATATAAATGAATGATTCGTGTCCGCCACGCATATCTATCAACAGGAATGCTTTGCGTATCATATCAATGTGAAATTCTTCTATTCTGCTCATACAAAAAATTCTGGTTTAATTTAATCAGTTTAATTTAATCAGCACACTATTTACTTTCAGTTGATTGAAAAAATATAAGTTTATTCAGTCTAGTAATTAAATTAAATTAGTCATAAATTTCGAAATTTGGTAAACTGTTACAGTTAAAACGAATGCTTTCTGCATCATCAAGTGGTTTGTTTTCTACTTTGTCTAGCCTTCTTCGCAGTGCCGGTCATTTCGATTATATTTCGTTTACAGAGTTCAATTTACAAAATGATCCACATTGGCCCAAAATTTTATAAACAGCGTAATTATATCAAAATCATAAAGCAAAAAATTTTTTAAATGTTTTGGAAGTTTAATTATTGTGATATTCATTAAATTTCAATAGCAATAAAAAGGTAGTTTCATTTTAATAAGCATTCCATTCAATAAAGTCAATGATTGTTAGCTGGCACAGTTTATGACATAACTATTAATTATTACCTTAAGATTACTGAAAACCTTTTTATTTTTTGAATGAGATTTATCAAAATATTTAATCTAATAGTACCATTTGAGAATAATTAAAAGAGCAAAGAGAAGAAAGAATAAAATAAAACATTAGGCAAATTGAGGGGCATGCCCAATGTCATTATCATTATTATGGACCATTTTTTTCAATCATTATTCGCATCCGAATCTAAAATAAAACTTACCAAGTCACTGAATTACTTCCTTCTTATTCCACAAGTTTACATGCTCACAAAAAATTGTGTTTTTAATTTAGGATTTAAATCTAATGATGTATTTGATTTAAGTCTGGAATCTTCGTGGACATGTCTTCAGCATCGTTTTATTTTTGATATTCCCACACTATATTGAAGTATTCAAGTTAGAAGTTTGAACATAATGGCCATAATTGATCTTTGCTAGTAGTAAAAGAGAAGCAGTTCGAATCATCTCATCTGTACAGTTTTTTACAATTATTTCTTTTCCATTTCATTCAAGCTTTCATACACGTAGTAAATTTTACAATCAAAATAATTAAAGAAATGTTCAAGAATGCTTTTAGTACTTTTGAATAAAATATTTCTAAAACTCCAAACGGATTCAGATTCCTGATCAAAATCTCGGACTTTCCAGAAATGGATAAAAAAACTAGTCATTTTTATCAATTTATGGAAAATTCGAAATTTATCAGCAAATCAGATTCAGCAAAATAATAAATCCTTTTTTTATAAAGAGTCGAGCTTTAATTTTTTTTTACTTTAACGTCTCATTGTTTTGGATTTAAATTGATCTTAGTTGTTTTTCATCATTATTAACAATTCTTTCAGATACCAGAAATTTTTGAAATTTCTTGTAGCTCTAGAGCAGATTTTTTTTTTAAAAATAGAATCTGCAACAGATACTTCGAAATTTCGTAAATAAACTTGATCAAGTAAAACTCCAGGAGTGAAAGAATCAATATATATATCTGAAGATGAACTGATATCTTTAATGAGATTCTTCTTAGAGTCCTTGGTTAAACGATGAATGGAACTTCATGGCATGCACTTAATGGGAACTACTATTATCAGACAACCTTGTTCAACACTTAACCGAGCAAAACCAGATCTAAGTCTCGCCGATCTGACGGTGCCTTTGAACAATTCTGATGGAAGGTGTATTCATTTTATTACATTTTGTTGTAAACAAAACGAAAAATTTCCTCATCTTTCTTCTTTACTTGCTCTCAATTTTCTTCCTTTTCTCGTATTGCCACCTTGAAAACATAAAATTAGTTTTTCAAGAGTGGAATCCTTATTTCTTCATTTTTCATATTTTCGATTTTGGGATTGAGGTGTAAATTGTAATATAATTTGCTAGAAAATTTTCAAATATTTTAATTATAATTAAAATGAATTGAAAGTATAAATATAGATACAACGCTTATTTTAGACACAAAATATTTCTATACTTGTCCATTTTTAAATATTACTGGAAATGACTGTCATAAATTTGGATTTGAGAAAAAAAAATTTTTTATTGTTATCATATAATTATGCTAAGTGCAGATAATGTGAAAGGATTAAGTTACTGAAAGGTTCTTGCATGAACGCATAGCCAAAACTTTAATCATATTCATGTTTTAATAAAACTCGTGGTAGAATTTAGGAAAAAGATGTAATTTGAAAAACAAATATTTGTAGAACAAGAAAAGTGTCAAATATTTTAATTTTTATGACCTACGAACATCTTTCAAATTTCCAACCAATCATAATTTAATTTGAAACCTTTCATAAATACAAATTCTAAAAATATTTTAGAATTAATGTCGAAAACATGCAATAGAAATGCCAACTTACTACATTCAGGTTCAATTATCTAACAATGAATAACCTAGAAATTTACTGATAAACTGAAAGAAGTCTTGGATTGAAAACAATTTTGAAAGTATTTTACTTGAAAATCAACCTTATTAACGGGTATTCTCATTTGTTTGTGGTTATTAATGGTGTACCAATTTTTTGATGGTTTTACAGCATTGGAATGTCAAAAACATAGGTTATCACACCGTTTTCATAATACTATGGAATTTTTGAAATTTTTTTATTCAACTTTCCTTACATAATATCGCTCTCCGGAAAGATTGCTGCTTTAAATTCTTTTTTCTCTCTTTCATTCTAGAATTTTGGAATTGAAAATGATCAGTAATGTAGTGCAAATATATTCGTATAGTAAAATTTTTTCCAAGACTGCTTTTGTTATCGCCACTGTCATTACACGAACAAAGGAACTGAGAAAACTTCAATCAATTCACATTAATGTTGATTTCGCCTGAAAAATTGTCAAATTTTGTTTATTGTATCCTTCGTCTTTTTTTGGTCATTATCTCTCCTTGCAACGTTTCTCACCGTTCTCCTTTAAATAAATAAAAAATTACCTTTCATTTCTCTTAATAAATCTTGAAAAACGGTTGCTCGCCACATCAAATAATTTCTACCGATAGCTCATTTTACGCCAATTGATGAATTATGACAAATCTTCATTTCATATTTAAAGTAGTTGTAATAATGAATGGAGAATAATCACTCATGAAAACAGAAATTCTCGCTTGAAAAAAAATCCTTTGGAAGCTTTTCCAACAGTCAAATAATACGCTGAAATGCATCTTTTATAATGACCTCTTTTGACTTCTTTTGTTTAATGAGTCAGCGTGCGTCTCTTCTTTAAAAAATATGCCAATAGAAGACTAAATTTCAAAAATCGAGGAGTTTTCTTGAATATAAAAATGAAATCGTTGAATATAAAAACGAAACCATAAATGAAATCGTTTTACAGTAAATGAGAACCGAAAACTGTTGAATTTGCTTGGTGGTGAGTGTAAAATGGAAAGAATTAGCATACTGCTTAAAGCAGTCATTATTATTTTATTTGTTAATTGCCTGACATCCGAGCCATCATGCTCTGTTTATGATCCATTCCGAATACAGCTTGATAATAATAAAGTGCGTTCTTTTCATTCTCAGCTCTCATTTCATTCTTTATGAATTATATTGCAAAAAAATATATGAAACGAATATCCGGAAATGTGATGATATTGAATATGAAAACATGCCATTTTCTATAGTACTATTTAGGACAAATTTTTAAAGGAGCAAAAATCCATAAGTGATACTGTTGATAACTTGCAATTTTACATAGATAATGTATAGTTACAGTATGAAATTGGTGCAGCATTTCCATTACATGACGAAGATTGTATGAAATTACATGCGGAAGCAGTTCAGGATATTGTTGCAGTTCAATGGGCATTAACTCACTGGAATCAAAATTTGAATACTAACAATTTGAAAACCAGTAAGTTAATGCTATCAGTTTTTCTTTTATTTCACTGTAAAAGCATTTAGAAGAATTGTTTTCATGATTTAAAAAAAATGTGATCAAAAAGAGCCATTATTTTGGTTTGAGTTAAAAATTAGCCATTCATTCAATTAATATTTTTAGGTTTCTATGCTGGTGACACATGTTCAAAACCGAAAGAGGCAGTTTCGCAAATACTCAAATTTTTGGATTCACTTGGTTTCTACGAGCCTGATGAATGCAGCACAGTAAATCGAAATTTCCGTCAGCTTCTTGGTATGAGTCTAAATTGAATTAGAGTCGTTCCTATGAGTTGCTTTTATTTCTACATATGACAAAACATTTGTGGCGATTTGCTCTAAAGGATGCAATGATTAATTCGCATAAATTTAAGGATTGCTTTTGCCGAACGATGCCGCATCGGCAAAAACAGTCGCTTCAGTTCTCCAAACTACACCGTTACCATTGTTGGCATACAGTTATGCAGTAGCTGATGAATTGGCACAAATGAGTGTTTCTAATTTTGCTACAACTGCGCCAACATTAACAGTTTTCATCGATGTTAGCTTTCTCATCTACTTTTTAGGGGGAAGAATTTTAAACAAAAAAAACATTTCATCAGAATAATGCCTTCAAACGAAGTCTAATTTCTAATTAAAATTAAACAAAACGAGGATTTGAAGATTTTTTTCATTTCGTTACTTGATTATTGTTTTATTACATTCTAGGCATTTACAAGGCTTATGAAAAACTTGAATAGCAACTTGGTAGCAATCGTGAGAAGAACCAAAGATGAAAAGCTAATAAGTCGCCTTCTAAGCAGATTACGACAGGAAAATATTTTCATTTCCGAGCTGATCTATCCAGAAACTCCAAATTTTGAACAGATTATTCGAGATTCAGATAGCCAAATTATACTTACGTTTTTATCCAAAAAGGAGGTAAGTTCTGCTTGAAAATCTTTTTCCGGCTTATTTCTCTTTGAATTTTATTATTATGGGTTTTTTGGAAAAATCTAATTTTTACGGTGCACGAATGATATTTCTGTGATGAAGCGATTTGACTGTTTTGATAAATACAATAGAACACAGAGGTTTTACAACTAGAAATTCAATGAAGTTTTATGATATTTCGTTCAGATATAAAACAGTGACGTAAGCAGCATGATAATACAGCTACAAATAATGGAATGGGCAATTTTAGGGTCTCATTTTAAATTTAAGATCTCGACAAGTATTGATTAAAAATCCCATCTTAAGATATTTGGTAGATCGTGTTAGTGATCCTAAGAATCATTAATAGTAAACCATCCGTTGTTTTCGATATTTTGTTTTTATCTTCTGTAATTCCCTCATTCTCACTCCTAATTCAATTTCTCTTCAAATAATTAGCACAATACCAATCTTTCTTCTAATTTTTGAATGAACAATGAGACATTGAAGTTTTAGTTGTGACGATTTCACAGATCTGTGAGTTGTGGTGATATGTATACCTGTTGCTGTCATAAATGTAATTTTGGAAAATATCAACAACAACAGTTGTAATAAAATTAAATTAGTGGTAGTAAAGAAACAAAAGTTACAATCCATGACACAAATGCTAAACTTTTAGCATACAGCAAAATGATTTTTTCTGACGCTTCCATTGATACAATAAATTTTTCCTTTTTTTACAAATAACAAATTTTTTGTGGGTTTTAATTTTAATTTAAAATACTTTTAGATTGGAAAATTACTTGCTGAAAAAAATTTTGGAGCTGATAAAACATGGATTGTGATTGAATTGGATACAGACAAGCAACCTGAAAGAAAACCGCCAGAGTTTATGATAGATTCAGATGTTCAGGTGCTTATTCAGCAACTTTATATTTTTTGTGTATTTTAAAAAGCTGAATTCATCTGTGTTACCATGATATCAGCTTTATTTTAGATAATATACTTGCGTCAACAAAAGCGCGATTTACCTCAGTTCAAGAATTACTTTTTGCGATTATTAAAAAACAACTATCAGTCCTATCCGTTACTCAGTTCGTTCATGCAGCAGGTAATCTCAATCTGCCAATTCCGTAGGCCATTCCAGTAGTTTATAAATCGCATGAATGCATTTTTTTAACTTCTCATTTTTTGGAGGTTTTTTAAATGATGGAATGTATCTATTCATTTCAAAAAATTTTTACAAAATTTTTCTTAAGTCACTGGCTACTTTTCAAGACTAAATCTGATTTCTGAGTTTGTAGATGTGCAACTGTACTGTATCGAATGAAAATAATAATAACGACTGCTCTAAAATTGATGTTCAAACGATGGCACTTAATTACAAGCAAACATCAACTGCCGAATCTATAATCAAAGCCGTTTATGCTTTTACCGCTGTTTCTACTAGACTGGAGAAAAACCCAGTAGCATTAGCACTATGGTGAATTTAATTAAATTTCAGTAAGTTGCTGGAAAAATATGCCGAAATAATGATAATGCTTCCTTGTCATTTTTCACTTGATAAAAACTAAAATTTCAAAGAGAATTAAGCAACTTTTATAAAAACCTTATTGATTAGCTTATTAAAACCAAGGAGTAACATGTGTGATGATTAAAATAAACTATGAAAACAGAATAGCATTTTGTTGGTGAAGAGAAGGCAGATAGAAAAATCGACTGTTCATCAGTTAGATTAAATAAATTAAACTAATATTTGACTACCGGCATAGTAATCTTCTTTAGATAGACCAAGAGCCATATTTTTAGTGCAAAAGTGTTATCAAATAATTTTAAGAAGTGAATAAAAGTGTGTTGCAGTGCTAAACCATCCTCAAAATGTACGGAATTAATTATGACTGAATTGGAATCATTGATATATGAATTTAATGCCAATGATCCAGCAGAATTAGTTCGCACAAATTTGCATTTTTACTGGGAATCAAACACAACACTGATGTCAAATGGGATTGTGATTGAAGGAATAGAAATGATTAATAACGAACAGCTAGGTGTTATGGAAGTTAAGGTAACCATCATATATTATTAAAATAAGTTAGTCCAGAAACAAGTAAAATTTTACTGGAATAATAGTTTTTGACCGCGGAGTTTTTGACCACCTTCTTTTTGCTGAAAAATAAATTTAAAGATAGTTGAAAGCAAAGTTAAAATTTGATAATCGCATGTGCTATCGTATTTTTTTATTATTTTTGTTTGAAGCTTAGTTACACATTCGAATGTCATTAACATTACAAAATAACAAACTAAGGCCTACACACAAATTTATATAAAATCAAATAAATTTAATTAGATTATATTTTAAAATACCTAAGACTTTGATTCCTAGATAAGCAGAACTACGAAAGTTCCCTAAATTAAGTAGCATAGGAAGCAGATCATTTATACGCTTCATTAGTAATTATGCAAAAATAAATATTATTGCATTTAAAAACTTGAAATAAAGCAAAATTTGCTAGATAATGGAATATGAAACTGGAATTAATCCACGATTTGCAATGACCACACCGCAAAGTAAGAAAATTCATTCCACATGCGCGCCATATCGACCTTATTGTGGTCAGTGTGCCTACACAATAAAAATTGACCAGAAGGTTTGATTTTGTCGTTAAATTACCAGAACTTATTGAGATTGTTAAAATTACCATAATTTTCGTAACAATGAAGTGGATATGTGTTTTTTATTTAAGATGCATATGAAAATAAATGCTCATTTCCTTCATTTTCAACTTTATTAACATTTCAGAGGTTTTACTTACCAAACCCACGACCACATCATTTATACATTATTGGTTTATTTGATTTTCATGGAGGTCGTACTTGCCAGTCTTATAGAAATTCAGATATATCACTTCCGCTCGCTTTTTTATATACGGTAAATCATTGAAACATTTTGCTAAATTCGTGAAATTTTGACATTAAGAAATCTCCGATAAAATTTAACGCATCAAATCTGAAAAATGATTTTGAATTATTAAAGATTTTAGGAGGATTGATCTAAAATTTTTTAGTTGGCGACCTTCTCTCAACGCTATCCACAAATAAGCCTTCTTCGAAACTTAGACATAGGTACCGTATTGGTCGATTCATGTTCATCGAGACGGAAAGCTATTGAAACAGTGATACTTGCAGAAAATCATTGCTTTACCATCGAACAAGGTGGCCAAAATATCACAGTAGTTCCAAGATCTGTTTTTGGTCCGTCCTTATCAGCTTTATTTACTAATTTATTTATTTATTACCTTCTCATTTACTTGTCCCACTAGTCTTCCTGCGCCAAAGTTTTGATCGCTAGTAAAAGATTTGAAATGTAAATCAATTTTGAGATACCTCGATACTTAACTTATTTCTAATCATCGCTTCTAAATCTGTGCGCATGATTCTTAGATTTGAAAAGCTAGCTGAAAATTTGTTCGCAAATCTGCCGCGTTAAATTTTCCCTGGATGAGTCAAATTTGTTTTATAATTTCTCTTGAAATTTATTAAAATTGTTCAAGCTGTTGCTCTTTCCATCATTTTATCTATCTTTATCAGCGTAGATATTTTATAGTTCAGTCAATCACAGATGTTTATTAATTTGTGAAAATTTAGTTTCTAGTTAGTTTTCGATTTCATTTTATGAATAAAAGAAATAATTCAGGATATGCATCTGCTTTAAGTGGTCGCGTGGGTGAAACACTGAAAGGACTGTTTGTATCTGGCGATAATTTGTTGGTATCATTAGATGCAGATCATGATACCGCATTAGATACAATCTCCGCCGTCCCATCAAAAAAGAAAGAAATCTTGGCGCTTCTCAAATTGCTCAAAAGGTTTTCTTGGGAGTACATTTCCATCGTTGTTTCTGATCAAGTTAGTTTTGATTTATATCGTCATTGTTCTGTAATTGTTAAACGCAAAAAGGAGAAAGAATAAGTAACTCTAAAAATAAATTTTAAAGTTTTATGACTCTGTAGTTTTTCCGTTTCATTCTTATTCCTTCTTGATTTGAAACCCTTCCCCGGAAAAGCGAGCTGTGAAAGAAAATGATTGTGAGAGATATCGGAATAAAGTAAGTTAGGATCCATAATCTGATGCTTATAACTATTTTAACTTTGATATTAGAGAAAAAATTTCATTGTAACAAATGGCAGGAATTTCGAATCTTCATTTCATATCTGACTGAAATTAGTAAAAAAATTAAAATTTTTAGTAATATATCTTTCTTCTTTTTTAAAACAAACCATTTTCGGTGGTTATCCCGTTTTTCATCCAAAGGGATGAGTGGCCGTCTCCTGAGATAGATTGCTATACCGTGTCGACCCGCGGTGGGTGAGGAACAAACCCTTTCAAACCACTAAGGTATCAAAAATAGAATGATCTCGAAGTGATCGATTGATTATATATTAGAGATTAGCTGATAAGATATTGATAAATACTACACTTTGATCCTAGCCACCATTCCTTAAACAGCCAAAGAAAGTGTTCACATCAAATACTTTTCCAGAGTAGTTCAAAGTAGATCGTAAAATTAAATCTAAAAAAAAAAAAGTTTTTTATTGGGACATATGAAGACGAGAATGTCGTAACTAATCTAATTAACGAGGATGAAAAGCTATTAGGGATGCACAGAACATTAGTACTTTTTTTAATCTTTATTCAAAGATAAGTTTGAATTTCATCAATCTCTCAAAAGCTGTCACTGAAAAATGTGGGAACAATCAATATTTCCTTTTCAAATCAATGACACTTCAATGAAAGAAACTGAAGAATTAATTGATATATCGATAAAACACCATCACTTATTTACTATTTAAAATATTTTCTGTAGATTAAAAACGCCGGTTCTTCCCTAGTAGACAAATTTTTATTAAGAAATATTTCCTACAAAGAATTAACTCACAACATTTCTCTTTCTGCTCCATGTAAAAAAATCTGGTCTAATACTGTGGGCGGCATTGTGCTAGGTTAAATGGCAGAGCTGGAAAGGATTAAGCTTCACTTCGAATTTTAGGATGATTCATCACTCGACACTTGTCGACAGTTTGAAAAACTAGCTGCAGAAAATGGCGTTTGCATAGCTGAAGTTAAAGCAGTACATGGAGAAGAAGTGGATCCAACAACAACAGCTAATGTTACTATACTTTTCACAAGTGCTTCCGATGCAGCTACATATTTTACCGCTAAACTCCGTACAGGTTTCTCCTTTTTTAAATTTAAGGTCAGTTCAACTTAAAATGATTACGACTGGTACAATTGGCTAGCAAAATTTGCAACATTTCTAAAGTTCTTGATGTTATGATGCAAGTAAAAACCGAACGTACCAAATCAATTCGATGCTTATCTGGTATTTTTGCACAGCTTATACAAATTATTTGAAGTCTTTTATAAAATGGTAGTTGGTGTCATATCTGCATTTTATCAGTAAAAGAACAGAAGTATTGTATTGCAAATTTAAATTTCTTTCCTTATCATGCCTAGTTGCTATTTTCTGATCAATTAATTTTATGATGCTTATAAGCCGTTCGAATGATAAATATTAAATTTTTTAGAAGTTAAATGAAATAAGATTCAAACCGAAAATTTTATTCGTGGATGAAATTAACCCTTCCGAGATTTCCTCGTAAATGTGTAGGAGCAACATTCTTATTTCATCTAGTTCTGAAAATTTTTACTAATTAACTGGAAAGCTGAAAATTATTTTAGAATCCCTTTATCCACATATTCATATTGTCAGTGGCGATGCTCACGACTTCTATCTATATGATCCATCTAATGTTGCCAGATTTGTAGGTACCCTATCTTTGCAACCTAAGGTATGCGATTTTGACTTTATCAGCATTTAAGAAGCACTTCCACTTAAATCTGACTACTTATTACTATTTTATGCTAAATACTAACATAATGTCCATAGTTACTATTACTTCTTGAAGTCTTTTTGTCTCTTTCTGTCTTCTGTAAGGCAAGATTTCCTTGTTTTTTTTTCTATTTCAGTTACACATCCTAATTTCAGGATGTAATGTATGATGAATTTCGTGCTTGGCTAGGAAGTATTACACCACTTAGCCTACCAGAAAAATGGTACTGGGAATACATTGAAAATCGATGGCAATGCGCTTTATCCGAAGCAAATCGAAACTTTTATGAAGGCAAAATATGTGTTGGTGATGAGTTATTAGATCTACCAAGTCTAGGTATGTGAAATTGTTACCTTATAAATTAGTATTTGTATTCTACATAAAAAAATCGATCAATACATTATTTTAAAGTGTTTTTTGTGCAGGGAGTTAATGAAGTTTTCTGCAATACTTTTTATATCGCAATTTGCAGTCTTGTGAAGATCCGAAATCCTTAAAATCACATCAACATATAAATATTTGCATTCAGATGGAAAAATTCAGTTTGATTTCTGATTGTCTCATTATTTTGATTTGTAATTTCTGGAAAGTTTTAGGAAGAATGACGAAAAGCGGATATTTTGTACGTGGCTTGGAACGCTTCCTATTTGCGCTGGATGCTGTCTACAAGCGACTGTGCCCGGAACAAACTGGTGTTTGTGACGAATTCTACATGAAAGGACGCAAACAAATTTCGAAAATTCTTAAAAAAGCTCAGATTGCGCACGATTTTGTTATCTACGAATTTGTGCCAGATGAACAAGGTAAGATAAACAGTTAAGAATTTCCCTACAAGACATTTCAATTATCATTAAAATCGTGTTTGTTTCATTATCCAACTTTTGTTTCTTTTGGTGTTGAGAGTAGATAAAACAAATTGACTCACCTTTTTTAAAATTAATCACAAATCAAAAGAAGTAGTGTCATGCCACATCTCATAATTGTGATGCTAATTAAAGCTTTAGGTTCACATATTTATCGAAGTATTGGGAATTATTCGGACAAAAGTGGATTCAAGTTTTCAGAACAATATAAATATTTCGGTATTCATGGCCATGTATCAGATGAAACATCACAACCGAAGTTTGTCATTATTCTTTAATTTTTTCTCTTTCAATAATATGCCAACCATATCACTCGCAAACAAATTAAGGTCCTCATTAATCTTTAAATTTTATTGCCTTCAAAAATATTGTCGTTGCAGAATTATTTCACGATGCATTTCGCCATTGTGCAAATGTTTCTTACACGTAAATTCGTTGAAAATGCAATCTTCAGTGGCTGATGAATTTGGTGCACCTGCCGGTTCGTATATTCGTCGCGTACCCACAAATGATGCTTTCCAACGGCGTCAATTTCCATCGGTTAATAAAGAAGTTTTTTGATAACTGTTTTCAGAATCTTATTTTGAACTAATACTAAAGAAAAAATAAAGAAAGTTAGCGTTTTATTTTTGACTTACCCTCTTTGCGCATGAAAAACATACAACAATTTTTTATCATCATTTAAATTAAATTGAATTTTAATAGAATTTACAATAATCCAGATTTTGGATCGATTAACAACAGGACAATGGCGCCTGCAAACATGGAATTATGCATTAGCAACAATAATAACTGTAATGTTGATCGGAGCACTGGGAGTGCTATGTCTAGCAATAATCAAATTGTACTTTCGAGTTATCAAAGGAAATCAGTCTTTGGGATTATCATTGCTTATGGGCGTTATTGTTCTTTATATTACTGGATATGTTTTCGTTTTTGAATCAACTGATACTGTTAGTTTTATTGTTTACTTTCTCCAAGTTCTCAATCATTTCAAATTTTAATTTTTCAAATACCATTCAGCGAATCATTGCAGATTTGTCGACTTCGAATTGTATTGCATCCATTAGGTTATTCATTTTGTTTTGGAGTAATGATTGCTAAAGCAACACAATTAAAAAATGCTGAATCACTTGGATTTTCTGATGCTGTACACATTAGCTATTGGAACTATTGGCTTTTATTGCTATTCATAATGGGTGTTCAAATTGCGCTTTCTTCAAAGTAAGAATTGATTTTTTACAGAACCTTCAAGTTACAAATATGTAATGGTGATAGCAAGTGAGTAGTTATTGATGAAATTTTATTTAAAAACCAAACTACAAAAAAATTTTGTATTTCACTCTCTGTTGCAGGTGGCTAACAGAAGAATTTGCATCAGTGATAGTATTAGATAATGGACAACCACGCTTAGTTTGTAAATATGGTAATGACGAATTCTTGTTATCACAGGCTTATGTTATTATACTTCTACTCTTGGCGCTTTGTCTTAATAGCACCAATAAAAACATCAAGCGCAATCACAAAGTAAATATTTGAAATAATTTTTTGTTATTTTCAAAAGCCAATTAAAGATAATTATGGTAAATTTTATCTTTTCCAATGTATTTGAAAAAGTTAGCCTTTCATAGATTTTACAGGAAACAAAATGGCTCTTCATATCATCACTAAGTTGTACTATTTTGTGGGTTATTTGGATGATGGTTTATTTTTTGATTCCATCACCATATAAGGTCTATCCTTTTGACATTAACATTTTATTTTTTTCAATGTGGCTTTTGCTTTTATTAAAAACAAGTTTTTGAATTCAAAATTGAACTGAAAATGATTATACAGGATACGGTTGTTGTTCTCGAGCTACTTTTATGCGCATCCGTTTTGCTTGGATTTATTTTCGGTCCAAAAATTTATATAATGTTGTCATACGAGCCAGTAGTTGTCGAGGTGCGTCCGCAAAATATGATCAAAGATTCTGTCTTCGATAACGATTTATTTGAAAAAGGTAAAGCTTTATCGGATTATTGTAAATTTTTGCAGAAAAGATAAAACTATTACGCAAATTTTTTAAAAGCAAAGATTAAATCATGATTTTAATGTGGATCCATCAAATGAATAATCTTAAAGTGATTAGTAAAAAGACTTTCAATGAAACACTTTTTGATCGAAATAAATTACTGTTATCTGATCTTTTGGATTCTCTGGGAGGAAACATCAAGAAATTTGGAAAATTAATGTTTACAATGCAATTACAGAAGAAAACTCGAAACGGACTTCCTTGTCATCGAATAGTTTAGAATCACGGAAAAGTTATACTCATTTATCCTGTAGTGTGGTAGACTGCAAAAATTCACCAGCATGCACGAGAACTGATTATAGTGATGAAGATCAGGTTCTTCTGAAATTTCTTTAAAAAACTAAGAAAAAAACACAATCAATCGCAATAAACCACATTCGTGCAATTCCAATTATTTTTAATTTTCAACTGAAATTTTTTCATTACACTTTTCATGTAATTATTGAAAATTTTCAGATTCCAATATTTCGTACTATAATGCGAAAGAAGAATCGTTTGGGACGTTCGCATTCTGAAGACAGACGAAGAAGCTTCGGTCGAATAATTCAACAGACAGTGACACCCAAAATTCTTTTCAGTAATGAAAAAAAAGGAAATGAAGTTGATCAGCATAGAGCTGTATCGGATTCGACAGACAATCACTAAAGCTTAATAATTTCGGGTGTACCTGAAATCCGGACTAACCTTCCATTTTCACAAATCCTGTCTAAAATGCTTACTAACCATTGAAAACATCCCACAATTCCCATAAAACAATGTCGTCCCAGGAATTTCTTCAGACATAGGTTTTTTTTTAATAAATAGAAGTGAAATTCCTTCTCTCAGGTTGTTTAAATACATTGATTTTTTTTTTGTTTACGGAAAATTTGCAAACCTTGTAAATGTTTGAAAATTTATGAAAGAAACACCCCTTCTTAATTCAAGATATTAAATTAGTTGAATGAGCAAAACAACTGGCCATTTTCAGCAGCAAGTTTTACACGACAAGAAATTTCAAGAACAGTTACTTGTAATTGTAATTGTTTTTCTAATCAGTGATGATATTATCATTGTTTTATTAAAGTTTGTACGTAATACCTATAATACTGATATAATGTTGTGATATTTGCGTGTTTACATTCAGCTTTGCCTGTACATTTTTGTGACATAAAAATTTTTTTCATATACCCTTATTTATTTTTAAATACTGCCCATTTGTTAAAAATATATATTATCCCTCAAAAAATTTGAGAAAGGATTTAGAAGCGCAGCTTAGCAATTCTTACATCATTCATGAAATTTCTATTCTTCACTTGACTTTTCAGCTATTGATTGTTTTCTAAACCCTACCGATGTTGATGCAAATTCGTATATCGAGAGATGCTAAATCTTCGACAGATAACCTTTTGTATTGGATGTCAAAATCAAATAGTATCATGATGGGAAAAGAAGAAATCGTAAATCTTGTCCACTGATTTTTGTTCGTTTGAATTATATTCAGATGATCGAATCAGAGAAGCATCGTGATCATCCGAACTGAAGTATCAGTGATAATGAGCCCCGTCAATGATTTATTGTTATTGTATTTATGCTGATTTATTTGCTTAAATGATGATAGAATTAGAATAAAATGATAGAATTAGAATAAAAAGGATAACTAATTAGTTTGAAATACTTTTAATAGCTGATTGCATTGTGAACGAAACTGTAAGAAAATTTCAAATTAGCATAAGTCTGATTCAAAATATTTCTTGGGAAACCGGAAATCAAGCTATAACTTCCTTTGAAAAGAACATCGACAGCGGAATGTCAGATTTTCAATTTCAAAAATCCATCATTTAACATGCCATCATTTTTCTGAAACGATAAAAATAAATGTAACTGCGCAAAAAAATTATTGCCTATTGATTTACTTCACTTGAAAGAGAAAGACAAAATCAATATTAAGCAGCAAGATATGCTATCCTGAAATCAATGTTTATTTTTAAATTTTTGTGAACCATATTTGTTAAACAGAAACTTCAATTTATCTAATGGAAACAAAAATCCTCTACAGAGAATCACTGTTTATAATGATGCAAACTTTTAATTTATTTTTATTTTCTTTATAAATTTTTGCAAGAAACAGCAAACTTTTACTCACCATCTAATTGTTACTAAATAATTTCTTGGCATTACATTTTAAGTCGATAGAAATGCAGACGGATTAATTTACTACGCAATTTGAGCTGAAGTGAATCCATATTAAGCATTAGTTTCCATAAAAGGTTTAAAATTCTATGGTGCTTGAGGAAAAAACTCCGACAGAGATTAAAGGAAAATTATAAAATATTTGAATGGAAGACTAATTTATTTTCTACCACTCGACTAAGCAGAAAAAGTAATGGATACGAAATCAAATAAAATAATGAGGATCAAATGAGGATCAAAGAAATCAAATAAAATAATGAGGATCAAAAAAGTTTGTATAATTATCTATCAGGAAAAGATTATTTGTTGTTAGAAGAAAGCTTATTTTTTAAACTGTACAAAAATACGATCATTTAATTTAAAAAAAAAAAATTTACAAAGACCTAATTTGAAAGTATCAGGTAAGCAAAAAGGATTGAAAATGCGTGACAATCATTGAATATGATAATGTAATACTTTCATTGTAATATGTCGTATTGGAAGGTAATTTACAAAAAAATTAAAATGCAATATTATTATTCCCCATAAAACAATTTATGATAAAGTCAGGATAATTTGCAAGGAATTGTTTTAAATTTTTTTTTAGAATTATTCTTCAACTTCTACATTAGCTATCCAGCTTATCCATATGATTTGTTTTATATTTTCATGTAATTTTTGATAGACCTAAATGAATAGAAAGAATAAAGTTCTTTTTGAAAGTATCATTGGCTTCATGTATACGTAGAAATGCATAAATCTTATTCCTCAGTCTTTCCAATTCGGATTGTTGAGAAAAGCCAAAATAGCCTATGACTATTAAATCACTTGTATCTGAGAATGATTATTATATTCAAAAATAAAAGCTACATTTCTCCCAAAATTTTTCCAATCTTATAAATATTAGAGATCAATGTGATCCGTCTTTTGTAGCAAACATGCTATTGCCATTATCATTTGGGCAAAAAAAAGATTTTAATTATTATCAAAGCTAATTTAATTGAAAATAAAATAATACGTTTAATTTAACAAATTTACTCAAAATAATTTACTATAGCTCAATAGTACCTAAAAATTCTTTGTTGACAAATTCAATAAATATAATTACCGTTTTTATTGTTTATTGCAACTGTTGTGCCTATTGCAATAGTTCACTTAAAATGCAAAGAAAAATTATACATTCTGTATTATTTATGAGTATATTAATAAAATATGCGCAAACTTTTGAATATTTTGGATGATAAAGAAAAAGAAATTAAGTTTGCAATGATAATGAAGAAAAGCATTTACCTGATTTTAATAGAAAAACATAATAGGAATCCCATTACTGAATACATAATATTCATATTAATCTTTAAGTAAACCTTTTTTTTCTTTGATATTGGAACAGATAGGAATTTTTATTTCATAATAAATACTTCATAGCATCAGCGGCAATTATGACGATTATTAAGAATTATTATTATGAAACAATTATCAACGGTGGTTGTATTATCATTTAATCATGTCACGTTAATTGATGTCTATGCAAATATAACATTCAAGCTTACATAGATTTAAAACTGACAGAAACAGAAAATAATGATTGATTATTTTGTTGCCAGCAGTGTGTAAAATAGATATTTCTAAAGCTATGGTGACTCTCATCATTTGGAGAATTTTAATAAATTTTTAGTAAAATATGTTCAATTTGTCCTATAAATATGAAAAAGCAGTAGGGAAGAAAAGAAGCACACAAAATGCTATAAGTTTTAAAACATTATATCGTTAAACCAAATAAGGACTATCCCTGAATCGGTGATTGTTCGTTTACTGTTGAATTTGGTGGTTTAATTTCTGTTTTAATCGCGCTGGATACCATTTTGATTGGAATTGTCTTCGCCATACCATCATCCTAAAGATTCACATTCTATCATACATAAGTTTTGGAAATGATTGCAACGGATATGATTTAAAAGTATTATGATTGATCTTTTATTACATTACAGTTTGATCATAAAACAAACTTTTAGACGTGGAGCGGTTGCAGTAACACTAAGATGTCCGTCTGCAGTAAGATTACTGGTAACTGTATCTGCCGGCACGTTCGAAGATATCAGAAACTTCCTGAATGCATGAAGAATGTGAAATTTGCTACACTATGTATGTCCATTTTCTTTGACTTTCAAGAAGTCTTTCATTGAAAAATGAACCTAATTAAAAGTCGTTCTACAAGACCAAATTCATCCGATCGTTCGCCATGTCTTGCTTCGACGATTATGTAAGAATTTGCCACTGATACCTGAATTTTCGTTGAGCTAATATCTTCGTTATCTATTTAAATTTTATTACATTCAATTTTTAAGCTTCTTTCAAAAGCGCTAGCTTTAGTTCAAATCTAATAGTATTAATGTTGCTCCAAATTGCTCTAGCTTCATCAGCTATCAAAAACAGAAAGATCAGCGATACAAAAAAGAAAAAAAAAGGTAGAAAAATGATGCAATCCATTTCAAATGAAATTAAAGAGCAAAATAATTTCAGTTTTATAAATTCGGATTAAAAATTCAAAAGCAAGATCTAATTTTAAAGCAATTTAGCTTCGACTTTATCAATTTTTTGACAAACCTGTGATTAATGAAAAAATGGATGGCTGTAGCTTTCTTTAAATTCAATGTGCTGTTACCATATTCGAATGTATATGTAATCATTATGGTATACACAGGTTCACTTTTGGAGGATAAAAAGAAAGGAAGTCTGTAGGTATGAAGAAAATTTCAATACTTGTTCTTCAGTTCTTTAGTAAAGTAAAGTATTGAAGTATAAGATCAGGTTTAAGACTACAACGATTTTAATGGTGAACAACGATAGCGAAACTGCTAATGAATTTAAATAAATTTTAAAGCAACCTTTAAAACATTTCTAAAATAGGATATACTTTCAAATCTTCCGGTTTAAATTGTGATAAATCCATTTGCACGTAAAATGACTCATCATTCTGCTGATAGGATGTTATCAGGCCTGTTCCAGCAGCTGATGTATTCATCGATGTTAATGTGACAGGTGGTGACTGTAAACTATTTTCATTCATTTTTTTCATTAATTAGTGAGAATTTTTGATGAGCTACAACATCTATTTCCTCAAGAAGAAATTATATTGTAGAAAGAATCCAACCTTGTTGAGATCTTCGAAAAGTTGATACTACAAATTTAACTTGAACAAGTTTTTCTTAACAAATGCATGTATCAATTTTATGAAACAATGGCATAAAAATTGAAAGTTTTGGTACTAGACTGTAAGCAAAAAGCAGCACTTGATAGCTGGAGGTGGATACGTGCAGTGGTGATCCTATACTGGACATATGCAAAGGTGAGTTTATATCGGTGATTTTTGGACCTTGTTCAATAATCCGTTTTTCATACGTCCGGTTATAAGACGATGTTCGATTATACGCTGATGTGGATGACATTATTTTTGTTTTCTCCTAAACATAGTAAGGAATAATCTCCATATAAATCTA